GGCACTCCCTCACTTTCTCCCTTGCGTTGCAAGCGATCATTCACCCATTTGTCGCTTGTGCCCGAGATCTTTGCAAGCTTTGACTTAAAAGAAGGCCCTTTTATCGACCGGGAGTAAACTTTGTCCACTTTAACGCTTGTCAAATTCAACAGAAATTGGTATTCCTCGAGGGTTGGAGTCATGTCCTCTCGGTTGAATGTGAAACAACTATAGGCCGGATTCCAAAACTGTATTATGCTTCGGATGAGAACCGGGTCTACCTTCACGTATATCAGATGAAATATATCCCCATAAGTCTGTTGGAAAGCTTGCCTCTCAATAAGATTCCAACTTTCCCAAATGGTTTTCAATCCCTGAAGCTCATTCTGTTTTAAAGAAGCTGGTGCATAATCAGACAGATCCGACACGTAGTTCCCTGATAGACTATCTCCCTGCTCTTTCTGCTTGGCTTCGGACCAGTTCCTTACATCTGCTGGATTCACTTCTTTGTTTAGGAAACTCCTCTCCATCGTGAAAGTCTTTCCACTTTATCGATACTCACAGATCAATCGCCTTTTCTAATGATATGTCTATGCAGTATGAAAAAAATAAACAAAACAAACGAAACAGTTAGTCAAAACAATTGCATAAATTTAACATAAAAAGATACGTAAAACGGGAAATAAATCTATTCTATTTATGTATTATCTACCCGAATAATATTCCTCAAAAAGGGTCCTACCCGAACATGCTCTCTACCCTCCTAAATTAATTAAATTCTAACTGCACCTAAATTCTATTTCACATGCTTTAACAGAATAAATCTATTCTACACACTCAAAAATAAATAAATAAAATAAAATAAAAAGGTTAGAGGGTTTCTCCATTGTATACGCCTATTTTGGGTACCTATTGACGGACAGAGGTTCAGTATGACTCTACCTAGTGTGACCGTTCTATGGTTCACTATATGCATGGTTTCAGCTCTAACAGGAAAAAAAGGAACTCGAATTGTCCTTGATGTCAGTGCCCCCTTGGGCTACCAAACCCTCAATCCTCACCCATTACAGGTTTCAAACGGATCGAGTTCAATTCGAGGGGATTCACTGCCTTATACCCATACGAGGAATAAATTCCTACGAAGGTATAAGGTATGTATCCCATGGGTTGTTTACTAAAACTCATACGAAGAATAAATTCTTACGAGAGTAAAGCAATCACCCTAATTAATTTGGATCGAAACTCATGTCTAGAGCTCATGTTATGCTAATGAAAGTTATGTGTGTGAGGAGAAACAAACAAACCTTTGACTCAAAAGCAGGGAAAATAAAAATAAAAAATAACACCCAACGAGAACTAAGAAATATCTGAAAAAAATGAAAACAATTAAAATGTTAGTATATAAAAATAAAGAGATAAAAATAATACATAAAAATTCAATAAATAGATCATAGTTTTACTAAAGGTTCGAACTTATAATTTCCACCATAACGACCATATATAAGCGACCGACAGCCTGACTCTCTAGACGTCCCCAGCAGAGTCGCCAAGCTGTCATATCCATTTTTTTTAAAACAATTAAATTTTATTTTTTAAAAACAATTATGACTTTAATTTGGAAAATTTGGTGATTTTGAATGGATTTGAATAAAATTGAAAAGAGTCGCCATCGACCTTTGGGTTAGGTAGGTCAAATACCTAAAAACGTCTTTTAAAAACAATTTTAAGAAAAATAATTTTATAAGACAAAAATTTGGTCTACGTTACCAAAGATTCATTTAAAACAGGTTCGGGAGTCGGTTACGTGTGGGGAAGGGTAAACACCCCACAACGCCCAAAATTGGTACTGTGTAACTTACACATCGTCGTAAATGGTGGAAATTACAATTTGAATATGAAGTAAAAATATGATCTATTTATTGAATATTTGTTAAAATAATAGAAATACTTCACTTGGTAAGAAATCTCAAGATTTGCAATCCTCCAACGGGAAAGCTACCTCATCTATTTCTTATCTATAAAGTATATCCTATCTTTGAATTACCACTAAATAATATCGTCATGAGTAGAAAATAAAATATGCTTAATTTATGTATCGTTAATATTAACATAACAACCATTAATACAATAAAAATTATGAAAATAGAATAATAAATAAATTATGATCTATTTATTGAATATTAGTTAAAAAAAAAATCCTTTTCTCGATAAGAAATCCCGAGATTTGCAATCCTCCGCCGGGAAAGCTACCTCGTCTATTTCTTACTTGTAAAGAATATTCTCTCATCATTTATTTAAAAATGTGTATCGAATATAAAATGAAAATTTAAAATTTACATTCTCATAAAATAAAGTGAGCATCACTTAAGGTACCACACATTACATCATTTTAATAAATTAATTAGTAAAATATATTCGACTTATTTCAAGTTCCTATGTCGCTAAAATGACGTACCAGATCGCACCACTTCGACCAAGTAGTACTTTCCACGCTCATTCTACGCATACGTGTTCTTGAAAATAAAATCAAATATAATGAAAATAAATGCAATTGGAAATATAAACATTTACATTAAATAGAATTAAACACATTACTTACATAATACAAATAACCATAAAATATGTAAAATACATTCATACATAAATAACTAAAATAAAACTAAGTTAACATTACAAACCAAAATACAAACCAAATAAGCACATATGATAATTTCAGGGACCAAAATGACGTTTAACCAAGCTTGAAAGGCTAAAATAACAAAAAAAAGAAATTTAAGGACCAAAATACAAAATACAGAAATTTAAAGGGCTAAAATCGAAGAAACATAAGTTAAAGAACTAAACTGAAATTACACAAAAACATGAAGGATCAAAAAATATTTAAACCAAATGCCAAAACAGTGACTAAAACAAAAGATGCATAAATCTGAGGGCCAAATTCGAACATCAGCTAAAATCACACAACACATGCAAATAAGGACTAAAACGAACATTATACAAAATAAGCAACCAAAAATTTAAACACTTAGAAAATAGAATACTAATCATATAGGGTTAAAATGAAACACGAAATAAATAAAGAACCCAAAATAGAAATATGAAATTTCATTAAGGATCAAATTACAAACGTTACAAAGCTAAAGGAATTTAAACTGTAATTATCCCAAAAAAATAACAAAACACGGAAGAAGTTATGAGGACCCATACTGTCATTATCCCCTTTTAACCCAGCATTCGACCATCCCCTGTCTCAGAACGACGTCGTTTGACGTCTGAGATATACCCTTTAAGGGTTATTATGAAACCCTAAAATCATTTTATAACTCCCCTCATCAGCCGTTTCACTCATTCTTCCCTCCTCTTCCAGAAACAGAGAGCCAAAGAGGCCCTCCACCTCTCCTTTATCCTCCGCCGTGGAGAAAAACAGAGGTCACAAACGCCGTAAATCGGCGGTGAAAACCCTAGAGAATCCTAAACCCTTCAGTCTTCCTTCTCCTTCCAGAGACAGAGAGCAAAAAATGGTTCTCGACCCTCCTCTTCGCCTTCCTTCTCTCATCCTCAACCGAGGATTTAAACCCTAAACTCCCCGGCCACCGTAGATCGGTGGCCATGGGGAGTAACCTCATCTCTCTCTCACCTAAAAAAACCTAAAACCCACTGCACTCCAAACCTAATTAACCTAGAAGAGGAAAAGGCTTTACCTTCAGATATGGGGCTAGCTGGGATCGGAGAAGGTCACAACGAGATTCACGGTGGTGGTTCGAGAAGGTAAAACTTTTCTTTCTTCTCTCTTTTTTTTCTGTTTCGAATTTCTCTCTGTATTCTTTCGTTCCTTTGTTCTTTTTTTCTTTTTTCTGTTCTTTTATCTTTGCTTGCCCCGGATTTCTGGTGAGATGATGATGATATCTAGGTAGAGCCTGGCTTTTTTTCTGATTTGGTAGGATAGAAATCCCGAATATTTAGGGATTTATTGGTATTTTAATTTGGAGTTTAGATTTTGTGAGATTTGAACTGTATATGATATATTTCCTTGATTGGTTTTGCTGTAGATGATAATAGTGGAACAGTTGGGGTCAGACCGGAACAGTGATGGTGGCGGCGTCAGAGGAAGAGAAAGGGAGGCTCGGCTTGAGTGGCTGGCGTCTGGGAAGCTGAGGAGTCACACGGCGGCTGGAACTCCAAACAGAAGCGGCGGCTGAGTAGAGGATTAGGGTTTGAAACCCTAATATGTTTTAGGGTTTGAAACCCTAATCTGCTAGGTTGGGTCTGGGTTAGCAGTGGGCTTCTGGTCTCTGGGCCTTTGTAATCTGAATTGGGCTTCTAAGCCTGCAAAAAAATGTAATATGTAAAATTAATAATAATAATAAAAAAATAAAATAAAAAAATAAATATAAAAGACCCGGACAAAAACGGGTGTCTACATACTCTATTTGTTTGATTTTAAAAAATAAAATCTATTGGTAACATTATTAAGTATTTTATAAGGGTCTGCTTATAAGAATTAAATTTCTTATTTTTTGCCCGTGAGTTTTTCCTTCTAGAATTTTCCATGCAAATGTGTATATTCGTTTTTGTGATGCACCATAATCGTCTCGATTATTGAAACATTTCCATTATGGGTTAGCTTAGCCACTAGAAAAAAAATGGTTTTGGGAAAAAATAAATTATAAAAAAAAATTCTAAGTGGTGAAAGAATGTGGTTTAAAAACTTGCAAGTGTTTGGTATTGAATGAAAGAAGTGGTTGATGTGGGGATGATAAAGTTATATCATGCAAAAGCCAACTTTTAAAATTAAAAAAAGCACAATTTTCTCTGCATTTTGATTTGGCAAAATTTAAAAGAACTGATTGAAGTTGTGTGGGTTCTCCCATTAGTTAGCTTGATGAGTTGATTTAACTGTTGAATTGACTATGTACTTCATTTCTTGTAATGATTAATTTCCATGTATGTGGATTATAATTGTGGCTACAATTACTAGTCTTGCATTAGATTTAATTACATGACTTGCTTTAATGTTCTAGGTGTGGTCCTTGCAAAATTATAGCTCCCAAGTACCAAGAATTGTCTGAGAAGTACCTTGACGTTGTCTTTCTAAAGCTTGATTGCAATCAAGAAAACAAGGTAATTCCTATGATTATTTCCAGATCCAGTAGTTAGCTCAACTATGTGAGCATTTGGTAATTTACGTGTAGGTTTTGGTGAATCAGCTAATCTGTATATTACGCATGTATATAGTGCTTGCTTCAAAAGCAAGTCTTGAAAAAATTATGAAACTATGTGATGATGAGAGATTTGTGCAATGATTTTGACAGCAATTGGCCAAGGAGCTCAGCATAAGGGTGGTTCCAACGTTCAAGGTACTGAAGCACAATAAGACAGTAAAGGAGGTGACCGGAGCGAAATTCGATGACTTAGTTGCGGCCATCGAGATGGTTCGATCCAGCTAAGTTCATTTCAGTACCTGCAAAATATTAATCCAATCAAATCAAAGACAACGATGACTTCATGCATGCTTTGAACTTATTTTTCTTCTTGTATATATATATGGATACATTCCCAGTTCTTCAAATGGAGAAAGGCCCCGGGTTGTATGTAACATTAACCTGCTACTTCTGATATATGTACACTCTGTTTCAGTTTATTGGGAGAGAAGGTGTGATTGTGAACCAAAAAAATCAGCTATTTTATTCCTGGTAGGTCCAAATCTCGATGAATCAGACTTTTACATTCATTATGTCTGCAATTACGATACAAATACCAAAATTGAAATACTGAATGTTTAAATAGATTGTGGGAACTTCTCTCTTGTAGCCCCAAACTTTTTACTCTTAGGAGAAGATAGTTTACCGGTTACAGCTTTGTTTTCACTCAACTTTCCAACGTAATTTTTCTTTTTCATTGATGTCCTCAAATTCGAACCTTCCTCACTTGTAGCGGAAACCGTGTACCATCCGATACAAGTACATAGTATTGCTACAGACCTTCCAAAACATACCAAGGATACCAAAATCAAGATTATAACTGCTGGTATGTAATGAGAAGGTCTTCTCAAATTCTGCAACGCATCATTCCATGAAATGCTCTTCTCTTTCTTGATCTTTCGATCTGATTCCGATGTTGTTTGAAGCTTATCCCTTCGAGGCTGATGATCACTTATAGTTGCTGGTTTGATTTTCTCTTCCTTCTTGTCCTTGGGCTTTACCACGAGAGGAACACAATAGTTCGAGTTCTTGTAAACGAATCGAACTACACCTCTGTTTCCCATTTGTGAGTAAATCCGTTGCCTCTTCTCTTCGAGTTCAGCTAGAAGTGCATAGAACTGATCGAGTCCACGTGTCGAATACGGGTTCTCGTTATCCCTTTTTCTCCTTGATCTTTTAGGTGTCGAAACCGGCCTGATCCAGGATTCATCATCTCCTTCTTGATGATGGAAAGATCCACAAACAAACGAGTAAAACATCACTTGGTTTTGGAGATGTGGAGTTTTCAGGGTTTGAGTTTGATTCAAACAGGGAAGGACTTATAAAGGAGACCAACCTGTTAACCTAACAAGTCAAGTAAATGGTTGGAAAATGAATCCAATTACCAAAAATAATAACAGAAGCTTCCATTTGACTTATAGGTGTTGTTTTACGTGTACAAAGCACATGGCACGGTGCCTCAAATTTATTTTATATCCTCTAGAATATGAATGTGAAGAAACAAAAACCATTTATTGCGCTCCCTTCGTAGCTAAAGCTACCATAATAAATAGATAAGTAAATTGCGGTCATCTGCAATTATGTTCTGGAAGCAACTTAGTTTGGAATATTGCTGTAAAAGTAGAAAGCTTTCATTTTGGTCATTTGACCTTTTCAACGATTAGAATAAATTATTTGTTGATTTTGTAAAAGATAATATATTTGGTTTGATTGGTCATTAATGGTTCATTCTGGTAGAAAATAAACCCTTAGTTTTCCCTGTTGGAGAAGAGAGGAAGATGACTTCAAGAAAAATATATAATTTCTAGGTGAAAACTTGAGACGAAAATGTAATCCCCTTTTCAGTCTTTCTCAAGAATAAATACTCCGAGGTGACCTATGATAGATATATGATCACTATGCTTGCTAGTATACTAACAAACCCTTATCGGAGAAGATTTGGTCTTTCTCCTATACATTTTGTCCTAAATTTTTAAATTTTAGCAATTTTTTTAATAAAATTGAAATACCATAATTTCTCTAATCATATAATACAAAAAGCATATTAGAAAACAATTTATTTCCATATCTATCATCCTTTTCTTGTTCTTGCAAAAAGATACAACAACTAGACCCGGAAAATCGACTAGACATGTATAACATAAAGTGGAAGCAACTAACATCAGTTGCAGGATCAGTCATGAGATTTTCCCTAAGACTCACTTTTGTATGTATGAATAACAATTGGACTTCTAACCTTATGAATGCCATCCGTCCATGTCAACGATGCTGATGCCAATGATGATTCAACCGGAGCTTTTCCCTTAACAGTCACATTGTACGAATTCTTCTCCTTCAAAGACTTGAAGGATAGAACTTGAGGAATCACTTCGATGTCAAGTTTGGAGTTTGAAAAGATTGTTGCATTGTAAGTAGATGTTGCCACACCACATTCGTGGCTGTTCTTTGGAAATTGACTGTAAATGAACCACCTGGTTTAACTCGAGCAGAAAGTGATGGATAATTGAAGTTTCTCGGCAGCGTTTTAGTAGAGTTTTTAGGGCAAGTGGTGTTGGTTCCTGATATCTTTGTAATATTTTCTTCACTGTATCCAATACTACACAAGAACCTTACGTTGTTGCCTTGGACGTTGTCATATACAAGTCCTCTAATAAGGGTTTGATCTTTGTTAGCACTGTGTAAACCACTGTCTCTGCGCTCAAAAATTAAATTTCACATATTAAATCGTTGCCCTTTCCTTCCATTTTCTGAAATTTAACCCCTAACATGGTCTTAACGATAGCTTGTTATTAATTACCCCAAATGAGTACCTCCTTATCACCCTTAAGAAATTTCAGAGTCGTTGTTTTGAAGTTCATTTCACTGGGATTGTATTCTCTGAACCAGTCAACTCTCAACACCATATCACAACCACTTAACGTAATACTCTAAAATCATGTTGAAATTCATATCCTTGCATCCTGCTGTACTGAATAATCTATCGTCGTTTGCTACTATAATTGCTAAGGGCTGAATTTGTTTTACTTCAATACCCTCTTTGGCCCATTTGGGAGTCACAAAACTGTGTACTCTCGCTGTCAATCAGAATATTGACGGGCTTACCTTGAATTACAGCATGTATTCTCAACGTAGAAGAGACCACATTGCATGTGAAAGCATGAATTAAAATTTCCAAGGCCTCTCCTTCCAACACTGCATCTTTGTCTTCTTGTATTGGGGTTTGCTCTAGAATTCAATTGCCTCATTTTACAATGATGTCCTGGAGTAAATTTTTCTCTGCATTTGAAACACAAATTGTGTGCTCTTCTATACTCCATCAACGGTTGTTTTCCCCACAACATAGTTTGGTTTCCTTTCATGGGTGAGTTCACAGTTGGGGTGGGAGGTTTATAACTGGTGTTTTGTCCTGTTACAGTGCATTTTGGAGCATACTTTAATTTTCTGTTTTCCACTTCCCACATTAATTCATACAACTTAGCTAACTTAAATGCAGCAGCCAAGGACTGAGGTTCATATGTCTTCACCTGATGCTTGATTTCCTCTTTCAATCCACTTAGAAAACTAGACACAGAGTAGTCTTCTTCCAAGAAAGGGCTATATTGTAACATTAAGGATCTGAGCTCTTTAAATTTCTCAGGGTAATCCTCCACTGAACCCTTTTGAAATAATTTGTTAAATTCTTCCAACGTATTATTACAGTTATTGTCTGAAAACCTGTGACAAATGTCTACAGAAAATTCATGTCAATTCACTCTATGGTTTTGCATTATGTAGCCGTCAAACCATGTTTCAGATCTACCTTCCAAATACATAGTGGCTAACTCTATTTTCTTGCTCTCAGGGACAGTTAAAATCGAGAAGTATTTTTGACAATTTCTCACCCACCCTCTCGGGTTATCACCATTAAAACTATGCAGTTCAATCCTTGGTCTTAGGGGGGAAATTTCCAGATTCTGGTTCTGCTCCATCTTCTCTTTCTGATTCACTTCCACCATTACCCTGACTAGTGTCTGCTACTGTATCCCCCATTTAAGTTTATGACTATCTAAGGGCAGTTGATGGGATGTCATTGGTTTAGAGGGTAAAAAACCAGGTTTATTGGGGATTAAAAGAGTACTTTTCATGCTCATCTATAACAGTGACTTGTAAAGAAGTCTTACCTTCATCCTTGCATGTGCTCTTCTACCCCATTTTCTGATTAAATATGAAAGTTCCTTGCTCACATTCTGCTGAACTTTTTGCCATCAAACTCGGGATTCACTGAAGGTATCCTCTATTCTCCTCTGATCTGGCCTCCAAGTACTTAAGCTTTCTTCCCAGCTTGCTTTCTGCTCCTCCCACCATTTTGGCACCATTTCACTTTTCTCTTCATTGCTTGATTCTGTTGATTCTTGTGGCTTGTTTTCACCCATTTTTTGTGATTTTTTAGGCATACCCAGCTGTGTTTGTATCAAAAAACTTGGCTTGATTACCAATTGTTATGTTTTAGTAGGGTTTTCAGAATAATAAGATTGAGATTAGAAAAATAAATGAGGAATTTAGAAAAAAAATATTCACTTCATTCAACATGAAAAACCCCTGAGGATTGGGTACAAGTTTTATATATCTACATAGTACATAATTTACTTAACAGTTGTACTGTGGTACTGAATTTCATCCTATTTGTTATGCTGACTTATGCAGGTGATTGGGCTGCCCAGTTGTCCATCATTTAAGCTGTCAGTCTGTTGTGGAATGGGTTCCCCTCAGATGTTCTTCCTTCAGTTGGGCATGCGTGTAATGGACCAGTTTGGCTCTATTGATTCCCTGAACTCGGTTCCCTCTTTATATACCCATCGCCCGGTTTGAACTTCTCCCTTTCAAGTCTCAATTCTGTTCAATCCCTAACTCTTATAATTCCCAATTCTTTCCCTATGAACCCTAATTTCCAATTCTGTTCACTTCCAATTCCCAATTCCTTCCCTATGAACCCTAATTTGTCTCCCGGCGTGACGGTATATTTTTCTCTAAAAATGAAAGTTTTACAGTTTCATCGATGTTTAAGAAAAACAATGGAATTATCTTTCTTTAATGCCTTCTTCGATCACTTGAGACACCGACAAACTCGTCTCATTGTTTGTTGCAACACTATCAAGTTAGACTTTCCCAAAATCACTTTAAAACTTACGAAACTCAATCCAAAACCTATCATTCAATGTGGAATTAATATATACAACGCACTTCCTCCTTCACCTCCCTAGCGTTGGGATTTGAAAGAATATGCTTCATCGTTAAGAAATCAAAGAGAATTTGAAGCCAAGGTTTTTTTAGCAAAAAATAAATAAATGAAGTTTTGGGATCATTTCATAATTTTTAAAATATAAATATCCGGTTATAATTCTGTTAAGTATTTAATGACAGAGTAACAAAAATAGTGACAAAAATAGGAGTAAATTGAAAGTGTACTGATTAACTTGAATATTTTTAAACTTTAATGATCAAAGTAGGAGAGAGAAAAAGTTGAATGATGAAATTTGTAATCTACCCTAATTCATAACAGGAAAATTATTTTCTTTTGTCATGGCATGGCAACTACCGAAACCGGAATGCCCTTGAATATGAAGAAGAAATAGATAGCTTTGAATTTTGTATATAGTTGGATGTGCTGCTCTATTTAGATAAGTTTGCGAAAGGACATCAACATTAATTTATTCTTGTCGGCTGAGGTTTTCGCGTAGGATAATTCACAGAACTGAAAATACCAACGAGGTGAAATCATGAAATTCTTACACGACACTCAATCCCACTTGAACTTGGACAATAACACTCTCTCTCCACAAATAATATTTCATAAATTCTTTGAACAAATCTCATACATAAACAAATATATAATGGTATTTTTAAAAGATTATATTGTATATATGAAAACAGCTGTTTTTCAAAGTCTTGCAACCGTGCATGCATTATGTTGAGTAAATATCTCAATGTTAAAGCATCTCCTTTGGTTCGGAATCAAGTCACACATTTAGTTGGTTAAAATAAGCAACAGCACAATTAAGCTTGCTTAAGCCTGTTTTTTAGGTGTCAGTTTGGACTTGATTATCTGGACCTCTTTGTCACTAATTTGGAATGCTTTGCTCAACACATCGCAAGGAACCGCTGGTGAGGCTGCAAATAAGGTGGCAGCAATGGACTGTGTTCCTGGAAACTGACTATTGAAGGCAGTAATAACGGCAGCAGGAGTCGTCCCGATGTTCTTCTGGAAATGCACCAATCCTTTAGGGAACACGAACACCTCACCCTTCTTGATCACTTTCGACATCAAGACGTTGGCTGTCGTCAAGAAGCCGACCTCGAGCTCGCCTTCCAACACGAACAATATCTCAGATGCTCGTGGGTGGATATGGGGAGGGTTAACCCCGCCAGGGGCATAGTCGATGCGAGACATGGCGACGCCGAGCGTGTTGAGACCGGGGATTTTTTCGACATGAGCCAATGTGACGACCGATCCCACAGTGTTGTTAGGGATGCCTGGATTGGCCAGACCGCAAAAGAAGAAGTCATTTGGTCCTATAGTTGAAGGGTGCTTGCAGGGGAATCCATTCACTTTCACTCCTGTTTTAAATCAACACAAGACAGAATGCATATTTTGTATAATTGTATATGCATATATTATATATAAGAAATAGCAAATGTACCTGAATAAAGATCGGCAACACAAACATCTTGAAGCAAGTCAAAATCACCACGGGAAGCACCCAACATTAAAGCGAATGTTATAAGAAAAAGAGTTGGGGAAGCTTCCATGGTGAATGTTGTTGGTGGTGATGATATAATAAAGTAAATAAAAAACGAAAGGGAAGGGAAGAGATGGTGAATCATGAAGAGTTGAGCATGGAGATATAAAGACAAATCACGGTTGAATTATAAGATTAATGAACGAATGAGAGAAAAAGTTGGGAATCAAGTTTAACCAATGGTTTTGAGTTCGGACACTTGTTTGGTGTATTATTTGTGGGCATGACAGAAACATGCATCTCTTTGTTTTTGTGTCGTCAAAACTAACCAAGATAGTTGTGGCTTCTATTTTTGGTTTTGGGCTCATTGACCACCTAATAATTCAACAAGTTTTGGTCTCTTCTAATCCCATCATTATTACTATTTTTGTTAGGTCTAACATAAATGAATGAATAATCAATAAGCAGCATTTATTTTTTTCTTTTTTTTTTGGATAAGTAAGTTTTATTATCCAAGAAAGCATGAATCTGCTACAAAAACAATCCAATTAAAGGAACAAAATAAGGGGAACATATACAACAAAAATCAAATTATACCCCATTGATTACAAAGAAATAAATTAGTGCTATCTAATCTATTGATAGTTCTATTGCTTAAATGGAGACCTATAGTCTGCTTAATAGATTGAACTATATCATCCTCTGATCTGCTAATGCCTCTGAAAATCCTACGATTCCTTTCTTCCCAAATGGTGTAAATGAATGCACACCACGACAGTTTAAGGATGACAGTAATTAAAGATTTTCCCTTCCATTTCGCCGTCGCCCAAACCATAAGGGTGAACCAATAGAAAGGAGATTTTCTGATGCCCGACAGCAGAAGAATGGATTTCCAGATTGAAGAAGAAACTTTGCATTAAAAAAAGATGGTTTCTAGTTTCGCTACCTTCAGAGCAAAAGATGCACAGATCATTAGTGGTTAAGCCGAACCTGAGCAGCCTTTCTTTGGTGGGGAGACGATCCAGAATAGCCATCCACGAGATGAGGCTGTGTTTTGGTATGTGAAGGGGAAACCAGATGATTTTCTGCCAATGAACTCTGCTACATTTCAAACAAACCTGCTCCCAAATATTTTTCAAACTAGTAACTCCTGAAGTTAGAAGTGGATAAGCGACACTTCGTAGCTTTAAAATTTTCCTGAGACTCCAGCTGCAAGAAGAAAGTTCATTCATGAACCAAAAGTTAGAATGCTTTATAATATAACACTGAATTCATGCGACCCATAGAGAGCCATCCCCGACAAGGATTTTTTTGATAAGGAGGATCAAGCACACTCTATTCCAGGTTTTAATGTCTTTAAGGCCTAAACCTCCTTCAGACTTTGGAGTGCAGATCATCTCCCAGCTAACCCGAGCACCAGTAGCTGGAATATTCGACCCTTTCCAAAAATATCTAGAACACACTTGCTCAATTTTGTTGATAATGGATTGAGGCAGCATAAGCTGTCTACACCAATAATTGGAAACGCTGAAGATGACGGATTTAATAAGTTCAAGCCTACCCGCGTAACTCAATTTAATCCTAGACCATTTGTGAAGTTTGACTTGAATCTTGTCGATAAGAGGCTGACAGTCTTTAATAGAGAGCTTCCTGGTGACCAAGGGGATTCCTAAATATCTAACAGGCAGACACCCATGTTGAAAACCAGAAGAATTAATGAGAATTTGAGTAGAGGGAACAGAGATGCCAGCTGTGAAGATCTCACACTTGAGCGCATTAACTTTAAGCCCAGATAGCTCATAGAAATAATCAAGAACAAAAACAACACCCATGACAGATTTAAGGTTACCTTTGCAGAAAATTAACAGGTCATCTGCAAAAGTAAGGTGAGTCAGGCCTATTTTCTTGCACTTTGGATGGAAGCTAAAAATTCCTCTGTCAGCTGCTTTATTTAGGAGATTGGATAAAACATTCATGACCAGAACAAACAACAAAGGGGATAATGGGTCTCCCTATCTAAGACCCTTTGCTCCTTTGAAATAACCAACCAAACTTCCATTAAATGCAATGGAGTAGGAGGCATTAGAGTAGCAGGCAGAAATCCATTCAATGAGTTTACTTGGCATATCTAAGGCATTGAGGATGATTGGAATGAAGCCCTAGTGAATAGAATCGAAAGCTTTTTGAAGATCGATTTTAAGAGCACACCGAGGAGAAATATTATTTCTCCCATAGCCTTTCACAATTTCTTGTGCTAGGAGAGTGTTATCAACAATACTCCTCCCTTTGACAAAAGCAGTTTGATTAGGAGAAATAAGCATAGACATTAAATGGGAGATCCTCTTCACAATGATTTTAGTAATGGTCTTGTATATAACATAACAGTAGAAAATAGGGCGGAAATCCGAGACTTTGCAAGGGTTAGGGATTTTTGGAACTAAAGCTATAATTGTAGCATTGAAACCAGGATAGATGAATGATTCTTGAAAAATATAATTAATGGCTTCAATCACATCTTCTTTAATAACAGTCCAAGATTTCTTAAAGAAAAGAGGAGTATAACCGTCTGGACCGGGAGCTTTATCATTGCCTTGATCGAAAATAGCCTCTTTAATTTCCTCAATGGAGACATCCTTAGTGAGCCCCACGAAGTGATCAGGGGAAGGGAGATGGTGGAGCAGACCTTTTAGAAGAGGGACAGAATAAACTTTAACTTCAGGGTCAGTGAACCTAAAAGTTTTTTGAAGAAATTAATAGCTTTAGAAGATATTTCATCAAAAGATTACAACCTTTTGCCTTGGTCATCCACTAAGACTCTTATGGTATCACGTTTGTTTTTAGTAGCTATGACAGAGTAAAAGAATTTGGAACACTTGTCCCCCTCTTTCAACCAATGAGATTTAGCTTTTTGTTGAAGAAACATAGACTCGGCTTCTTCGAGAGAATTAAGCTCCCTTTGCGAATCGAGTTCTTTTTCAATAGGCTCCATACCTCTAAGAGTAAGAATCTGTTGTTTCTCAATCTCTTCCCTTTTAATTTTTACTCGAGCAGAGATGTCACTAAAGAAATCCTTGTTAAGATTTCTCAGATAGACTTTAAGCCTTTTAAGCTTGAGGAAAAGCCTCTTCATAGGATTTTCATAACAAGGTTGGTGCCAAGAATGCCTAACGGTGTCTAAAAAGCTTTGATTAAGGGTTCAACAGTTGAAGAATTTGAAAGGCTTCGGTTTGTTCATTTAAATTTCTTTGCTGAGGGAGACCATAGCCATACAATGGTCAGAAGGTCCAGGGGCAAGGAATTTCACAAATGAATTTGAAAAAGATTAAAACCACTGGGAGTTAATGAGCACTCTGTCGAGTTTTTTGGCAAGGAAGTTTTCACTTTGTTTGTTACTCCAAGAGAAAGTAGGGCCAAAATACGGATGATCTTGAAGTTGAAGATCTTGGGATAGTTCTTGGAAGTCAATCATGTCAGAGGAAGTAAAAGGACCCAGAAGCTCAAAGTTAGAGGTTTCATTATGATGCATAGTGACATTATAGTCACCTCCCAAGATCCAAGGGAAGTCAGGAAACCTGGAATCTATAAGTCTAAGGTCCTGCCAAAGGCTACGTTTAGCTATTCCATCATTGTGACCATAGATCCCAGTAAGCAGAAAATGAACATTCTTGAAGAAGCATTTAACGGTGATACTTTGATCAGAAATGTGACAAACAGATAAGTCAAGAGCCTTCCTCCAAAGTAACCAAATTCTATCATTAGCAGCATAATCATAGTTGCCTAAGAAATTCCAATTATCAAATCTGGAAACAAGAATATCAGCAGAATTGTCCATTTTGACACGAGTTTCCAATAAGCACAGAATATCAATGTTATTGAGAGAGGCTCTCCTAAGGACCTTACATTGTTTAAGAGGATTGTTTAATCCTTTTACGTTCCAAAATGAAATAATCATTTAAATTGGGGAGAGGAGACAAAATCCCCCCTTTTACTTCCTACTGGAGCACTTTTAGCTTTCTCAAGGTGTGATTTCTTTTTAGCTTTTATATCTTTGATCAGTTCTGCAACCCCTAAAGTTACAACTCTTGTTTTTCCCCTTGAATCTCAGGCTCGGTATGAGCCTCTTCAAAAGAGTTTAAATCTCAAATCTATTCGAAGAACCTGCTAAAGAATTTTTGATTTTAGTCTTAGGAGGTCTACCCTGACCCCTTTTAGAGGGGGATGATGTCTTTTGATCACAAATTACTATCTCTGGAGGATTAAGATCAGCAGCTTCGAGTTCAGGTTCTGGAAGAGGGTAATTTGGAGATAAGATAGAAGCACTATCGGAAAGATTAGCTTTTTCAGGAGAAAAGGGTTCAGAACCATGAAGAATTTCAGTTCCAGAGTCCTTAGGAGAGGATACCTGAGCACTAACATTTTCAGTAACTTTAGTGTTCTCTGAGGTATCATTACAATAATTAACTGGGGCCTGCGAAGTGGAGGCTAAGGGTTCATTTTTCCTCCAAACTTGAGTAGTAAGAGAGGGAGAAGGGTTAACCTTACAACTTTTAGTGTTATGGCCAAAAGTGTTACAAGATTTACAGCTTGGTGGAAGCCATGGGATTTCGACAATAACAGTAGTATGCAGGCCATTATTAAGCACAACATCAATCGATTTTGGAATTACTTCAGAAACACCTACTTCAACAAGCAGTGATAGAGTCCATTGACAGAGGAAAACCTATTGCACTAGCAATGTAACTCAATCCTTCATTAGAAAACAGTTCTAAAGGAACGTTGTACTAGATATAGGTGTAAATAATGTTTGTGAGATTACTGATTGTACTAGATATAGGTGTGTTTAAAGTTCGGTTTGATAAAATAATTTTATTTTATGATTTTTAATTAGTAAAGTTTTCCATAAACATTAAAAAATTATTTTTCAAGTAACTAAAAATAATTAATTAATTTGTATAATGTAACATTTTTTAACTTATGTCACTATTTTTAAGTATAAGACACTAATTTTTTTTACATTATAATATAATTAAAATTAATTATAAATTAAATAAAAAAATAAAATTTGATTCGGTTTGGGTAACAACAATTCTTAAACTTGTGAACCGTAATCAGTCCAAACACTACTGTTCAAATCGGTTTTCAATTTTCAGTTTTTGTTACTCAGCCCTAGTAATAGCATTATCAAAGAATAAGGAAACATCATATAATCCATGATCAATCCCCTTGAAATCCTCACACTAAATGCATGCATACAACAAATCATCTTATGTAAACTACAACTGATGGAAGGATTTTACTGAAAAAGATCTAATAGAAACTGGAACGAAGTTATGTTAGTTCAAACACAGCTTTGTTACACTAACAATTCACCAAATAAATAGAGCTCTACGCCTACAAAGAGTTAACAGCTGACTACCAAAAATATCAAAGTAAACAACCAGATAAAACCGGAGGCACGTGGTTTCTTGTACTAGATTCACTTTCCTGTCTTATTAACACTACTAAAATATTAATGGCCATGAGAACCACAGTAATAGCATTCCATGCACTTCCCTTGATGTTCACTAAATTGAGACGACCACGTATTTGCTCTTAGGTTCATCACGATTTTCGGCTTCATATGGCAGAGCAGACACCTCTAGAAAATAACTCCGAGTTCTTGAAATGCAACAGAAATGGTGTCATGCTGCTGAAACCCTTTGGCCGGGAACAAGTACCAACTTGCGAAGAGAATATCTTAGAGTTGAAAGTCGATTTGGGATATTGAAGCATGCACCTGGTTGCCTGGCAAACAGTGTTACAGAGAAATTATGGAAGCAAATAAGTCCAGTCAAGATTAGACCAAGCATTAGAGAATATATTAACCTTCATACTTTCTCCTTTCTAAATTATAGAGGAAGATTGTCTAACACCGAATATATTTCTCAAAACTTAATAAAACATCAACTTTGCTACTTCTATATGGCTGAAAAGTATCATGTGAGGTAAAGCGATATAGAGTAGTGTGAGTAAAGCGATATAGCGTAGTGTGAGTAAAGCGATATCCATTTAATGTACCAAAAGAAGAAGAAGAAGAAAAAAAGAAATAGCCACTAAATCCAATTTGCATGCAAAATAGTTGTATGATGCATGAAACACAAGGATCAAAATGCTGAGTTGATTCATATCATACCTTCCGTTTAATTGGTATAGGTGTGTTAGCAACTGGCATAAATAATGACTCTAGTCTGGAAAGAGAAGAATATAAGACATAGTAAGCAATAGCGCAGAAATTTATAGCATCGATTATGTAACAAAGCATTATTTTTATGCAGCTAAGTGTTACTGACCCGCCCTGTGATGACTTGTTCCTTGCTGCTTTAATTTTTTCTATTGCCTAGTAAACATAAAAAGACAGAAATACACAGTTAATCTTTTTTATTAATTCAACAAAAAGTATCATAACAGCAGAGTTAATGAGAGAGGACGTACCTTTGTCACTCTGTTACTACTGAACCCATTTTCATTCACCAGAAAGGTGACCAACCCCTAGGAAATAGACAAAATAATGTAAGAGTAGATAGTTGTACACCTCTTAGAAAACTGTATGTAAATAGGATAAGGAATTACACACTTCATCATCTGGAGCACTCCACTCCACCTCAAATTGTTTATTATTGGCGCAGACTAAAGGTTCTTTAAAAATACATCGAACCTCTTCATATGGCCAATCATCAGGTATTGAGTACCTGAATAGAAGATGTTTTATTAGTATTAGACTAATATTAGTTACTTTACACAGAAATGAGTATAAATAATTTCACACCACATAAACAGTTCAGACCTCTCTTTGTTTATGTTCTGAAGTATATGCTCTATAGACCCATGTTTATGAATTAACTTCAAAGCTGTCTTTCCCCCTATACCTGGGCACAGCTTGAGAATGATTATGACATACCAACTACATAGCCCAACTTTTAGGTGGATCATGTAACATAAAGGTCGGACATTTTAATGAAAATCCCAGCATACCTCGGATGGTCTCACAATAATCACATCCAGAAAGAATGCACAAGTCAATGAATTGATCCATGGTGAGATTCAGCTCCTCTAAAATCTAGCACATATCCCATAAATTAGAAACTCAAAATCAACAAAATACATCAGTGTGTAATACTCAAAGTACCTTTGCAACTTCGAACTCCATGACTGGAACTTTTCTTGAGGTAGGGGCCATTAAATGGCGAAGAAATCTAGGAGCTCCAAAGGTTAAAGAGTCCATGTCCTCAGAAGCAACAGCGTAAACCTAAAATACTATGAAATGGTTCAACTATTGAAGCCTTATAGAATACTAGGATATTAATAAAATAAATGCTGCGAAAAACCACTTTTAAAATGGCACTGGAAACAGTTGTGAGCATTTTCAATCTCATAGAGACAATCTTATCATGATGTACTAGATACTTGCCTTTCCTGATTTGCAAAGTGCAGCACATTGTGCCTCTGATTCTGAAGGAGCCTAAGGAAACTAAAACATAAGTCCCTCATTTCAATTTAGCTTTCTCAGATCAAACCCCAAAACCTAAAAACTCGCACCTAAAATGATGAAAACTCACCTCAATTACAGGCACCCCCATAAGTCTTAATAGCCGTTTGCAGTCTTCATTGTGCTGCTTTGTGACCTGGAAACAAGGCGAGCAAATAATCCAACGTTGATTTTAGGCACATTTTTATCTTATTTTGATGTTTCCTATTTCTATCCTGCCTAAACACTCAGAAATAGGTGCTGAGTAAAACAGTTGGCTCTCTTATATAGTACAGGGAGCTGAGAGAGGCAAGAAGAACTCACTTTTACTGTCCGCTTGCTGAATTTTTCGATATCTTCCTTATTGCCAGTCTAACAATATGAAAACAGAAGCTTGATTTTTAGTGGTGGTGAAACAATTAAAGGGCACTTTATCCATCACTCTGTAACAACTAAGAAAGATACCTCCATGGCTTGATGCAAATCCTTGGTAGCATCTTCCCTCTTTGAGTAACTACACGCCAAATTTAGTAGAAAATTATGACGGAGTAGCCACGAAAGGCATCAAATTCCAGCAATTTTGAAGGGAGGAAAGTAATGAGAAGAATTTATATGTGCTGCAGAAAAGTACCGTTTTGACAGCTCTTGTTTCTTCAAATCAGGTGGATGTCCATAAAAAACGTAGCTGAAAGGAGATGATACACTAATTAGCAAATAAAGGACTTTCGGGAAGTGGTATGGTACCATACAAGCAACAAAGAGCAATGAAAATAGTTTCGTACAAATTGAAAATCAACTTCTTTCTGAAGAAACTGATAAGACAAGGTAATGAAATGCATTACATAGGTTGCATCCCTGCTTCAAGAAGTCGAATTGTGCGATTGAACATGCCTTGCAGATGACTGAGGATTAAGCCAGTAAAACCAAGTAAACCTTACTAGAAACAAGTGTAGAAACGTAATTACAAAGTAAAAGTAAGAAACTAAGAATCTGATAAAGGAAATTATGCAGAGAAACAAAGAGGATTAATAATTGAAGAGAAAACAAAACATAGTAAAAAACCTGGTAACTTCACCAGCTTCATTGGTTAGCATTTAACTCCCATTACGACCCACCACTATCTGCACTCACCCCGTAACAAAAGAGAGCCTCTTTATATTATTAGAGTCTTAGCTCCCAAATGGATATGATAGTTAAGCTTTCTTTTTTCTTCATTTTAATGAAAAAGAAACAGCAGGTGAATAATATACGGACAAGAAACTGGTAAATGCTCAAGCTGGCATCAATGGCAATCTTGCAACCAAAATAGTTCTCCAATTTATGTTCCTTCATTGCCTTTGGTGCATTTTCCGCTAGAAGCTTCGTTAAACCCTAATCATCACAGTTAAATCCGAAAATTTACGTTAATATTCAAAAAGAAAGCCCCAATCTTCCATTTTTTATATGATAATGCTAAAGAAATAACTCACCCTAATGCCCATTGTTGGTATAGGTTAGAGAAAGGAAGAGCAGCGGTGCCTGCAGCGGCAGCGGCAGCAAGGGTTTAGAATTTGGGAGTGTTTAGTTATAGTTGCAACATCAGATTCAGTAGGAGACCTCTAAATTATGAAATGCCTTCAATGAGACTTGATCTCACGATCTCAAGATTAAAAATATTGTGTTCTACCAACTGAGCTGGATTGTCATTTCTAGTATGCATAAATATAAATTTAATCTTTATATTTTAATTTAACTAATTTATTAAAAAAAATCAGTCTTAACTCAATAAAATACAAGGATAATTAAAATATCAACAACAACAATAATAAAATTATATTCTCATATGCAATTAGGTAAGGTATGGTAGTAGGTTGCCCTCAACGCCAGGTTGACAATAACTTCCGTGGAAGACTTCCGGTAGTCAGAAAATTAAAAAATAAAGATAAAATACAATGCATGTATAAATAAATACATAGTTGGACAGTCTTCATATGCAGTCTACATATGCGCGTCTGTAATGAAAATTAATCCCTGCAAATAAATCTCTGCGTAAAAATCTCAGTATATATATAGAAACGTAAGTCCAAGCTAAATTTAAAAAGAGGAAAGAGAATGATACACAATAGTCAGAGATACCAAGTTACGAGAAGGAATAAAGTCAAATTGGATTAAAACCAAAACTAAGGCAACACTACTCCGCTACACTAGTTCTAAGCCTTCATAAATTCCAATAACATAAACGTATAAAAGTAAAAGTCATGGAAATTAGTACAAAGGCATTAAAAAATAAGATAGAGATGCTACACCCTATTGCTGTGACCCACACTACTCGGCTACCATGGTCTTCAGTCTCCATACTTTCCTGTCAGAGGTCATGTCCTCGGTAAGGGTTAAATCCTTCAAATCAGATCTCAATCAGTCTTCCCACTTCCTCCTTGGTCGACATCTCCTTCTAGCACCGTTGACTGTAATCGACTTTACCCTCCTGACCGCCTCCGACGGTTGTCGTCTAAGGACATGTCCAAAAATATGTAGTCTTCACTCTATCAACTTTTCGGATACAGGCACCACCCCCAATAACATCCTAATTGCAGAGTTTGGTGTCATGTCTCGCAGAGTCCTACCACCTCCAATAACATCCTAATTGCAGAGTTTGGTGTCATGTCCCACAGAGTCCTACCACATGCCCATCGAAAAATTCTCATTTCTGTGGCCTCCGTCTTCCTTACATGATCCTTCTTGATTGCCCAACATTCTGATCCATACAACAGCGTTGGTTTAATTATCATTCTATAAAATTTTTCCTTAAATTTACAACTTATATATAATAAATGAATCAGTAATAAAATTTGATTTCACATATTTCATATATTATATGAGTTAAAATTTTAAAAATAAAATTAAAAATATCATATTAAACATATAATTTAATTTTTATACTTTATACATATTATAAAGATTAGTAAAAGAATATGACTAAATTATTAATGAGATGAAATGAAATGATTTTTTATAAAATTTAAATTTAATCGTAATTTTATTTAGGGAAAAGAAAAAGAGAGATTCTAGAGAAATTAAGAGAATTGTTTTTAATAGGTCTAAAAGTCATTACCAAAAGCAATATGAAAAAATAAAGGACAACTTGACAAATCGATCATATTTGATTGTTGAGTGAAATGAAAATAAGGTTAAAGTTTTAAAACCTAATATTTTGAATGTAATAAATTAAATTGAAATAATTTTATAATTTATATAATATTTAAATTAAATTAAATAATTAAAAAAGTAAATATCAATATTATTACAAAATTATCTTAATATATGATAATATCTGAAATATAGTAATCATGGCCTTGAACTAAAGTTGCATAGACGGAGTGTTAAAAAAGAACATAGGTTGGTATAGAGTATTGACTACTGAGATATTATTAAAAAATTATCTTAATATATGATAATATCTGAAATATCAAAAAGGTTTTCAACTTAAAAATATTAAGAAAAAATTAATATTTTAGATTGTATTAAACCGAAAATATTTTCGATTACTTATTTTCTTAATTTTAAATTACATCGACTTTCCTTGAACTTCCCCCTGTAATAATTGTGGGAATGTCTCAGGAAAGGCAGGTTAATATACGGCTAATATATGGCGTTACCGGATACATTAAAATATATTTAACAAAATCGGTTTAGCGCTACCGGAAATGTTGTCTAATAATAATGTAGTAGATCTAAGTCATGAAGAAATATTAAAAAATTGTGCAACCGGCAAACTTAACTTGTCGGTTCGTGTCGATCCAAATTAAAAATGTGTCGATCTAAAACGATAAAACAGGTAAAACTATGACAAAACCAGAATTGAAATGATAAAACCGGTAAAGCGCTACCGGATACATTTAAAGTGTCGGTACTTTAATATAAGGATCGACACTTCGTGAATTTAAAAGAGAAGTAATTTTAAGTCCTATAAAGTGTCGATACTTTTAAAAAATGTATCGATCCAAAACGATATACCAGGTAAGAAAATGATAAAACCGGTAAAACGTTACCGGATATATTGAAAGTGTCGATACTTTATATAAGGATCGACACTTTGTGAATTTAAAAGAGAAGCAGTTTTAGCGCCTATAATGTGTCGATACTTTAAAAAAATATATCGATCCACAATGATATAACAGGTAAAAATATGATAAAACAGATATCAAAATGATAAAACCGGTAAAATAATACCGGATATATTGAAAGTGTCGATACTTTCGTAAGTACGTGTAATAAATTATCGACACTTTCAAAGAAATAGGTAATTATCCTTTCGAAAGTATCGACACCTGACATAAAAGTATCGACACTTTTGTATTTGTATCGATTAAATATAAATAACATATCCGATGAAATAATAAGCTAAATATCCTCTGAAAATAGATAGAACGGACGAGTTTTTGAAATCGAAGCGTAATTGTTGCTGCATTTCAGAAGGCGTTTCTAAAGCGAAGTTTGTTTGTTTGTTGCTGCAGTCGAATCGAAAAGTATGTTGTCGAAACCCTAATTTTTTATTATTACAGTAATCGCGATAGGATTTTTATGTGTTGTTTGGGGTTTTGGAGTAAAGAAGCATTTGGGACCGATTGCAAGTAGAAAGTGATATTCAAGGAAAAATATAAATGTCGATACTTTTATTAAATATTATAGGTAGAAAATGATATTATAGGTTGTATAAATGTGCCGACACATTTTGGTGTGGCCATTCAAATTCTTTTGAAGAAAACTGTTTTACCACAAGAGTAGTTATCTATATTTGTGTATTGAATAAAGTGTATGTAACAAAATAATTTGATTTGCATAAACTGATATATGAAGGAAAAATGAAGTCAATGGGTTGGAAAATTGTTGGTGGAGCAGATGACTTTGAAATTGAGGCCGAGACTCGAAAGCAACCAAAGGGTGGATATATGTACTTCTAGTAAGTATCAATGTCTTTTTGTTATTATTGTTGAAATGGTAATTGGATTAAAGTATCGATAATTTTAAATTGATTACAAATTTTAAATGTTGACAGTATGGTCGAATGCAAAAGGATGAAGGAAGATGGCACACAGAGCGGTTCGGTATGTAAAATGAAATTGACATTGAGTAGTATTTAGTGTTAATGTATTGATTAAGAAACGTTTATGTTTAATATTAGGTGACAAAATATGTGAGGTCCAAATGGAATTCAATGAGTGATGCTGAAAAGGAACCTTACATCACACAGTCAATGAATGATAGTAAAGAATACAAAGAACGGAGGAAAGCACATGAAAATAAGGTATTCATTAAACTTGTAAATACGTTGATACAAAATATATAAGAACTATAACATTATATATTGTTAAAAAATGTAGGAAGTGTCGACAAGATGCAGCATTAAGAGGGTGAATTTATTAACTAAACACCTTAAGGAGAAGGTTCAGTTGAATGTGCTGGGAGAAATAGGTTTTGGATCGTTGGTAGGAGTAAGGGATCGACCTATTCGGAGGGAATTGTGTCGATCCTTGATGGCGCAATTTGATGTCAGACAATGTATTGCTAAGTATGGTGATTTTTCATTTCCTCTCGGGATCCCATGTGCTGCAGCCGTATTGGGGGTAGAAAATGAAGGCAAAAGTGTTGTAGAAGTCTGTAAGAGTAAGGACTGGAAAGCACTTGCCTCCAAATATGGTTTGAAGCATAAGGTGACATATGCTGAAATTGAAGAGGAAATAAAAAGTGGATCTTACGTTGGGGATGAGCTGAAGGCCAGAGTTCTATTATACCTTGTCGGTATCTTTCTTTGTCCAACGGGTAATACGTCAACGAACAAGGAACATATGAAGCTCATTTGTGATGAAGGCTTGAAGGGTGAATTCAATTGGGCTGAATATATCCATTCGAGATTGATTGAATCAATAATCACCTTTAAAAAGGGTAGCCAGAGATACCTCAAAGGGTGCATAGCAATCTTAGAGGTAAATGAGTTGAATAACGTTTTTGGGTTTTTATATAAAAATATAAATTTTATTATAAATGCAGGTTGCACTGTTCGATTTTTGGTCAGGCTGTGAGGCAGTGCCGGCTTATGAAAGAACCGGAGTGGCACGCATCCGTGCATGGGGGAAGGAAGAGGTGGTTAGAGTGACGGTGAAGTTGAAGTTGGATAGAGCGAAGAAGCAAGAAAGGGTAATAAATGTAATTAAATAATATTAAGAATATAATCAATGTCTTAATATTGTAATTTTATTTTGAAGGTTATTGGCAAGGATGTAGAGGAGGCAGTGGAGGCAGAGGAGAAGAAAGGAGGGATGGTTGTATTGGGGGATGACGGTGAGTGGGACAACGGTGAGGGAAAACATAGTAACTTCGACATTTTGATTTCTGAATTGGCTTATATCAAAAAAAATCCAATTTGATATCATGCAAAGACAATCAAGAGTCGAAGAGAAACTTGATAGAGTCGAAGAGAAACTTGAGAGAGTCGAAGATACACTTGAGAGGCATAAGGGGGTAGTGGAAGGAAAAATAGATGGAGTGGTGAAAGAAGTAGAGGTGTTGAGGGGTGAAGT